ATCTGCAGAGTCCAAAACCCTAATCTGCGGAACTAAAGCGAAGGCCAACCAGTGGAATGGAACGCTTACCGAGGGATCGAAAGTGTTGAAGATACTGAGGCATGAAGGCGTTTTGCTTGACAAACAACTGGAGAGGCTTCTTGCCTGAGAGGTTTTTGTTTGCCAGAGGGAATGTGTTTGGTACAGGGAGGGGCGAAAAGGAAACATCTTCGATTTCGTCTATTTATTTTGGCGCCCGACGAAAAAACGTACCAAACGGCTACTTTCACGACAGAATAGATTGTTGTAACCTAAACCAATGTTTTAAAAGTTGGTTCAGAATAACACTATTGGATTAGTACTTTAGAAGTCAAACTTGTAGGTAATTAATTGAGTTTCATAGCTCAATATTTATTAAATTTCTTTAAAATATTTGTATTATATATAATTAGTAGAAAAAGAGTTCATATCTTTATATATTTATTTTTTAAAAATTTTGAAAGAAAAAATTTTGTCAAATTCAAAAAATAATGGTGTTCAATATAAAATGGGAATTTATTTTTATAAAAAGAAATTTTGTTAAATCTAAAAATAATGGTGTCAAATATAAAAATTCAAACCAAAAAAAAATTACTAAAATCTATTCTTTTTATAATACGTATAAATATAAATAATTGGACAACTTTCATAATATGTAAACCTGAATTTAATTTTTTTAAATATAATATAGTTTTAATTATATTATTTATTAATAATGACGTAATTTTCATTATTATTAACATAAAAAATATAATTTATATATAACTTTAAATGGTATTCATAACTAAATTTTACTTGAGATTTACTATTTAATAATTTTTGTATGACTTTCTTCTTTTTAAAATATTGTGAGGATTTTTTATTTTTTTATATAGAAATTTTGAATATTTTGAGCACACAATTTATTTTAAAATAGTTTCTCATGTTTAAAGTTAATTATGTCTTTCTACTTTAAAATTAAATTAATTTTTATTTATTTATCCATTTTCTTCTATTTAAAATCTTCAGCTTCATATTTATATATAAAATATTCAAAAAAATTAAATATATTTAATTATTGTAAATATTTTTTACTCCATGATTATCTATTGAAACATAAAGTTTCACTTAAATTACAAAAAAAAATTCAAAATTATCATCATTATCCTAATTTCTATCACATTACAACAAAGAAAATCTTAAATATTTATTAATTGTCTCAAATATGTTCTATTGTAGAGTGTGTTTGATAGTGAAGAAAGAAATGAAGAAAAGAAAAAAATAAAAGAGTGAAAATAGATAAGAAATAAAGTAAAAATTTGATAAATAATACTATAAACTTGCTGTATTTTTTTCTATCAATATCATTTACACTTAAATAATACTATAAACTTGTTGTATTTTTTTTTCCTTAATAAATGATCAATTTACTAAGGAGGTTGAATATCACTGCATCAACAATTTATTGGGTGTACAACAAGTAGTATAAAAAAAAAACACTTATATAATGAAATCTAAATTATCTTAATTAATATATATATATAGATCTCAATTAATTTAATTAAACTGCAACTTTGGAAGAGATGTTAAACGATCAATTTTTATCAAATTGTTTGTTATATCTAATGTGTGTAATACGGTTTTAATTATATTATTTATTAACAATGACAAATTTTTTTATTATTATTAATAGAAAATATTACTTATATGTAATTTTAAGTGTATTTACTAATTATATTTTACGAGAGATTTACTATTTAATAAATTTTATGAGTTTTCTTTTTTTTTGTCAGGATTATTTTTTATAGCAATTTTGAATATTTTGAGCTGCAGTAAGTTTAAAATAGTTTCTCATTTTTTAAAGTTAATTATGTCTTTCTGTTTTAAAATTAAATTTAGTTTTAAAATCTTCAACTTCATATTTATATATATATATATATATAATATTTATAAAATTAAATATAATTAATTATTTTAAATATTTTTTATTCCATAATTACTTATTGAAACATCATATTTCACTTAAATTACAAAAAAAAAAATCAAAATTTTTGTCATTATCTTAATTTCAGTCACCATACAGTAAAGTAAGCATAAAAAATCTATTAATTGTCCTAACTATATTCTATTGTAGAGTTTGTTTGATACAGAGAAAGAAAATAGATAAGAAATAGAGAGGAGAAAGAAATAGGAGAGTGAAAATAAATAAGGAATAGAATAAAAAATTGATTGTTTGATTAAAAAAAATAGGTAACAAACTATATTATATGTTTAATAAGTTAGAAAGAAATATGTGTGAAATAAAATATATATAAAAAAATAAAGAGAGATATATAAATAATATACTAAAATACTTTTGAAATAAAATAAATAAATAATTAAAAGCAAATAAATAATTTTAAAATATTATTTTTTTTAGGTTCTAAATTAATTAAAATAATATTTTCAAATTAGATAAATAAAATAATTATTTAAAAAAATTAAAGTTTCATTTGACTAAATACAAATTCTATTTAAATGAAGAAATCTATTTATTATGAAAGTACATCTTTCAAAGAAAACATATTTAAATAATTAAAAACTTGGGTTTTGAAACAAAATATTTTTGAATAAAAGTTTTATTTATTCAAATAAATAAAGACTTTTTTCACATTTTGAAAGATGTATTTGAATAAGAATTTATTTATTCAAATAAATAACAAAAAAATTAATGAGTAATAAAAATATCATTTGAATGTAAATACATTTTATTTAAATACGTTTAGAATTATGGCATGAACCATTTATATTTGAATACTTTTTTTATTATTTTAATTATTCGTTATAAATCTTTTGTGCATGATAATGAAAGTAATATAATTAATTTTTTTCTTTAAAAATGTTATTAAAAAAATTGTCCCGACTCATCTAATTAATTGTATATGTCTCTCCTATCTTAACCTTATAAATTACACAAAATTGATAAGATATAATTAATTGACTTATATATATTGAATATATGAAAAATATTAAGTATTATAAATATTAATATGAATTAATTAAATTTTTAGCTAAACTTTAAATGGTACAATATACAAGGCACAGGTATAACACTTGGCAACTTTAGAATATACACATAACCTACTTTGTTATGTTTGTATTTGGATTTGTACTTGTCAAAAAGCAAACACAACAAGTCTTGTATTAAAAGTCATGGTTATTGATTTCTTGTTCGTCGATCTTCAAATATCAAATATTGGTTGTGTATGTAAAAAGGACTATGATCTCCAAGTTAGCAAGTATTTAAAGTGTTTGGATCTCTTATGTAAGATTCCATACCTCATAAAGGTTTGATACATTTATATTTATAGAGAGAAGAATGTTATTGTTGGTCATTTAGTCATTAAGGGCATTCAAGAACTTTTTTTGCTATGTAACGGTTGGGAGTTGCACTTTACCCTGATTACAACGAGGTATTTGGCTAGGTTGAATACTTCTTGACCTTATAGATTGCCTTTTATTAACTGATAACATCTCGACTCATTTGAACATTATTTCATAAATAGGGTCGACAACATATTGGCCATAAGACCATTCCAATTGACAAGTCCCCTCAGTCTTTGACATTTGGAAGAAAAAATTAATGTATAAACTTACTAAAATTTTAATTTTCCCGCTTAAAACTTTCATGATTGACATCTTTTGAGTACGTTTGTCGTTTTAACAATCACAGTAAGTGCAATAATGACATGTTAGATGACATAATCATGTGGACATGACACGTCTCACACATACAGAAAGTCGCACTCATGTCCAAACATTGATATCAAAGGGATATAGTGGTTAAGGGAGACGAAACATTTTGTATCCTAAACTTATCTTCTACTATAAATAGGGTCTCTTAACCCTCAAAAGAAATTACCTACTACCTTTAACTTTTGTATACATTGAGCACTTGTTTCCATATACCATATACCATATATCCTATACCCTATACCTTAATTCCATATTCCATTATCCCTATTCCCTATTCCTTATTCCATATTCCATGTTCCATGTTCCATGTTCATTATTTTTCATGAAAAAGGACAAAGTAATATATATTTTTATTAAAAAAAGATATTATACATGAAAATTTACTAATAAAAAATATGTAGTTAAAATAATAAACTTTTATTTCATATAAATCGAGAATAATTATCTAGAAAAAAAATGTTAAACAATAAAATAAAAAAAAATGATCTAACATAAATCTACTACAAATTTATCTTTTAGAAACATTAAAAAAAAATTAAGTTGACAAGTTGATCCATCGAATTGATGAATTTGGCAAGATAGATTAGTAAATTTATATGTTCAACCTAACTCATCAAAATTAGACAAAACGGCTCATCAAATTCAACCTACATTATCATCCTAGATAGTGAAGTAGTTTTTAGAGACATTAGGTTCAATGTAGATGGAGGTGTCGGTCACTAAAGTGTCACACGAGAAAGAGAGTTGTCTGCGATAGCTTAAATAATGGGGCAGAAATATGAATCATAGTTGTGGAGGCCTTGGAGGGAGATAATGCATGTGGTGGAAACGCAGAATGAGAAAACGTGACATTTCAATTATTTGTTGACACCAACAAAATTAAGAGCAATCTATAAATTTCTTTCCATATTTGACCAAACATATCATAGATTTTAGAAAATCTTGTTTCGTGTAGTCTGCTCGAATCACCTTAATAGTATTATGCTAAACAAAGTGCATGTTTGGATTCTGTGATTCACGTTTTAACAAATTTTCACCTCAAAACACACTAAAATCAATAAATAATTACTTCTCAAATTCACGTTTAAGATTTGTGGACGAGAATCTAAACACGCACAAAGAAAATGTCCCATTACTCATTAACTTGAAAATCCATTTCGTCTTTATTTCAACATTTTATGAATACTTTACATTTCAATTTTTGGTTCATCTTTTCATTCTTCAAAAGAAAGGAATAGTTTATCCTTTTAGACAAAAAAATATGCACATTGAAGACACTAACTCCCAGATAAAAATTGTTATCAATGGTGGCATTCATTCATTACATAATAAAGATGGGTGTCAAAAGTAAATAAAAAATACATAACGTTGGCAACCGAATCTAGCTAAGCAATGCGGGTTGGATGGAGCAAAAAGTGAGGAAGGTGCTGTTCCAAAACGACCAATAGCTCTCGACCATGGGTCACTTCACCCAAAACCCTATTCCCGAGCCTTCTAGCGGCTTCAACCAGCTGTCCCCTAAGCCGTTGGGAAAACAAACAGCCACCCGCCTTGACACACTCTCTATAAAGTGGGAGGTAAGCGATTGCCACCGTGAGCGGGGCCGGAAGATCTCTTAAGCAAATAGGAGACTCGCCCCATTTTATGATTCTCACAAGGTTCATGTAATGTTCTTGCCCTAACCTTAATCCCTCCTTGTAAGCTCCTTCTGACCAGTGCTCCTTAAGAAAAGTCTTCAGCTCAGGCGCAACAGCCTCATCCTCTGATTTAGCAATAATATCTGCAACAGCATAAGTAGCTGCAGGATCACCTAAGAAATCAGATTGGAGGAGAAATGCTACGCCATCAAGAGATCCACCACTACGCTCACCAGCAGCCTTTAGAATTTCAACACTAAGTGCTGCAAGGACCTGCTGGGGTACGTGTGGCAGAAGATAAGCCGCAATGTGAACTTGGCAGCTAGAAGTGGCTGCTGTAAGGGCAAGGCAGAGTTCCATGTCTCGACAACCCCTCTGCACAAACCACTCAACAACTTGCATGCAGCCCCTCTCAGCAGCTCTCATCAAAGGACCCAAAAAGGCTATGGCATTTCCCTCTTCCACCAAGCACTCCATAGTTCCTATCTTGCCGTAATGGGAGGCAAAACCCAATGCCAAGTCAACATCAACATCCAAGCTGTTTCTTTGAGCAATCTGCATAGTTTGATTCCCAGCATGGCACAAAAGCATGAACCAAAAATTTTCAGTAGACTATATATTATAAAAACTGCAATACGCTACCTCACTTCGTGCACACACACATGGGAGGAAGTGGTAACGCCAAAACCTCTCACCTCCAAATTCTTCCAACATATGCATTAGAAAGGCTACCCATTTTTAAAACACCATCAATGTTAAAGCCAACAACATATCTGCATGATCCTTTGATATGACACTCAATAATAGTCAAACAGAAACTAAATGCCCTAGAATGATAATAAGTATGCCTTCAGCCACCATGGAAAAGTTATGCTTCTAACTATCATAACAAAAGTTGGCTAATGCCACAAAAAGAACTGAACAAGCATTAATATTGGATTGGGGAAGAGAAAAAGGGAAAGAAAGAGATCAAAGCCATATCACCTGCAACAGTATGCGAACAAGTTCTGTACTGCCAAAACGTGAAGCCTCCAAGAAACACTGATTGACGTTGTCTGCACCCCCCTCTACTAGCATGCCCAACAACCCTTGAATCACAGTAGCTGACAAGCCAAATGCCCAACCTGGATCAAATGAGCTGGAGAAAAGAGTAAGTGGAAAACAAGCCGCATCAAAGGCCTCACTGAAGTCCTTCCCCGTAAGGCGGTTGCCAGCAAGATCAAGGAATGTCTTAAAGGCAGATAACCGGAGCTGGATTTCAACAGATGAACTGTGTATCACACTTTCCCTATCATCCTGCAGTCGGGAATGGATGCCTATACATTTCAGAGCCCATTCAGTAAATTTCTGAACCTTAGCGCCTGCTTCTGCCTTCAAGACTTCATCTCCATTGCATTCCTGGAGGCGCTCATGCAACCTAGCAAAACGCAGAGTTCACACATTAACTGTAATTACTATAGCTGCAGAAATTTGAGCAGAAAAAAAGTAAACAATCTGTTTCCAGTTTCAAAACCTTCCACCATCTGATTTAAAATAGGAAAACATAAAAGGAACATTCCTTAATCACCAAGATGCAAACCAGCTGATAGAGAAGCTATTAAGCCAGTAGCTCAGAACCAAGTTAATGTTGCTGGTTGGGTTTTTCATGACTAATAAAGATTAAAAACCAAGTTGCATCTTTTAATTGAAACTACTTCATTTGTGACTGAACTCTTTCCCTTTACACAAAAATTAATTTAAAAAAAATACAACAAATGTTTGTGAGTTGTACCTTTGGGCCATTACAGTAACTGTATCAGCGAGACTCATTGTTCTACTCTGGCAAGCAGAGACACATGAAGCAAGGAATGAAGTTCTTAGAGCAGCTCTTGTGAAGTCATAAGCACCATTAGCAATGATCTTCTTGATAAATCCCATTATCCCATTAAGCTCTAGCTCTGTGCTCAAGAACCAGATGGAATCCAGTGTGCTACACAAGGCATCATTGAGCGTCTGCGGATCAGCAACCAAAATCAAACTTTCTGCTAGTTCCCAGTCATGGGAACTCACTGCACCCTGAAACAACCGACCCAACTCAATCCTGTCTTGTCTACATAGTTTCTTCTCCAACCCAATTTTATCATTATTTCCAAGCTCGCAATCTATTGTAACAGCCCTGGATTTGAGCTTCTTGGCATTGCAACAATAAGGAGTGGACATTCTTGACTCTTTCCTCATAAGTGGCGCTTCTCTTGAGAAAACTACACTGCTACCTTCTCCTTTCTCTGATGCAAAACCTTGATTTTCATTTCTCTGGAATTCAATTTTGTTATCTTCAGATTTAATTTCCATGAATAAGGGATTTTCCACTTCAGTTTCATCCATCACAAATAAATTATAACTCCACTAGATAGATGTCATGTTCTCTTCTGTCTGGTCTCTGCCCTCTTTATCATGCCCGGTAAAGCTAACAGCCATTCTTCGAAGCACATGAGATATGAATAAGAGAACTCTAGCCTCTGGTTTTAAAATTCATGAAAAACAAGTACTAAATAGAAAAACAGAATTAATAATCCCACATTTTCTAGTACAATTTTGGATTTTTTCAGGAGTATAGAAAAGCAGTAGTTCCGTCTAGAAGTAAATCAAAGATTAAAAGACAAGAACAAATGCTATTCGCATACGAAATTAAAAACCCTAAACAAGGGAGGGAGTAAATATTGAATATTGAAAATAAAATGTTAGCTTTCCCCGTTTCGTTTTACTGCCAAACAATATATACACATCATTAAATAAGAACAGATTATAAAGCATTAGATTAGATTAGAGAAATCCAAATCTTTCGATCTTGGCCATCGACAAATGAGAGCAAACATTAACGTCAAACCCACGGTTGTCGAACAAATAAACCCTAAACAGAATCCAAATGAAGTAAAGCTATATGATGAGAGCAATAACGAATCTCAGATATACCAATACCATATTAATCAGAATTGCGCATATCATATAACAATTTCAAAAACAATAGCTGTGACAGGGAATTAGTTAGCATCTCTTTGGGGAAAGGACAATAATAGAGACAGAGAACAAGAAATATATCTATCATAAATAGCAGCAACAAAGAGATGGCTAGATATAAAACCTGATAGCTTCAGAGAGAAAATAAGAGGGTGGAAGAAGAGAACCCGCTTCCTGGCCTGTTATGCTCCTGGAGACTTTCAATTCCGACGCCAAATATAGGTGTAATAATATCCTATTTTAGTATTTTAAACTTCCGTTTTATTGTTCCGTGATTTTTGTGTTTTTTATTGATACAAACAAAATCAACAATTCTTTCTTTAAAAAAAAACATATTCATTTAATGATTTTTAATTATTAAAATTTTAAATAATTTTAGAATTCTGTCACAACTTAAATGCCTTTTTTAACTCCTAAAATTATTATGTCATCTTAACATAATTATCAAATAAAAGTTGATTAAATTAATACATTCGTTTAATATTTAATTCATTGATACCAATTAAATTAATAAATTAAAAGTAGATGACTTATAATGTAATTTATTTAAACTAGTGAGCATAACCGATAGTGCTAGTTGTTCAATAAATACATTTACTTTTCATAATAAAAAAAAAATAGATAACTCATTTGAAGTGAATGTAAACTATATAAGAAAGAGTTCAATTATTTTCCTTTTTAAAAATTAGTTGTTTATGAAAATTTGTTCTTAAGATGGTAAGTCTTCTAAGTGTTGGAACCAAGTATATTTTTTGAAAACAGTTTTTTAGTTTACTTGTTTATGATTCAAATTATGTAACAATATAATAATGATTGCAGTAACATTAAATAAACAAGTAAAGAGACAAGGGAAGAGAGAATGAACACAAAATATAGTTAAAAATTTGTTCTTTATGAAAATTTGTTCTTCATAAGGTAAGGTTTCTAAGTGTTGGAATTGAGTGTATTTTCTAAAAGCAATTTCTTAGATTATTTGTTTACGATTCAAATCATGTAGTAATGTAATAATGAAAACAGTAACTTAAATAAACAAGTAAAGAGATAGGGATAGCGAGATTGTACACGAGATTTATACTAGTTCCTCTTAATTAGGCTATATTCAATCCTCACACAATTTTGTGGGATCTTCTACTAAAAACACGGTCAATTGTTGTTCAAACTCAATCACCTACTAATACAAGCCACTACTATCTAGCCACTTGTTGTTAGTTGCAAAACACTCAGCTACCAACTAAGATTTCTTCACTTAACCACTTGTTGAGAAAACAATCCCACAATTACTTGTTATGAGATTACACAATGTTTGTTGTGGTTCCTTTCTACTTTCCTACACCTCTGCACACTCAGATCTGGGTAGGAAAAGTATTTATGAGAATGAGTTTTTTGTGTTCTTGTAGATTGCAAATATCACAAGCATCTCTTCGATACTAGAGTTTTCACTATGGAAGATTCCACACTTCTTTCTATCACCAAACTAACATATAAAATTGATATATATTAATGTTTCGCATTCTTTTATTGTCTTTTATTCTTCTTTTTTCCCTATCACTTGAGACAATTCGTATCTATTACTTTGAGATGCAATGTATGATATTTGTGTATGAATCATGAATGAATTGGATGATGTATTACCTTACAATCTTGATACTACCTTTTACTAATGACTAGTTGATGTATTTGAGAATGTACATGGGATGTACAATGTGATAGTATGATATGTGAAGTGAGATCATGTAGATGTAATGCCTTGAGTCATGTTTGACATGCATCATTTGCATAAAATGTGTATTTGGGGTACAATATGAAATACACCGTTAGGGAAGCTCCCCTGTGTAAAAGCATGAGAATCAACCTTGGGGATAGCTCAATTTGGAAAGTTTTAGTTCTGGCCTTATGTGCATGAGACATATCTTGTATAGTTTAGCTATCTCGGCCAAAACTTGATAATATGTCCTCCTAGTGAGAATGCATAAAGGGTATGACCCAACATGTACTCTTAGGCTACTATATGTGTATTGTTAACGACAATGCACAAGTGTGATGTATGATTTTTTACTGACACCACATGTGTAATAATATGTAGTCATTGTCCATTACATAATGCACTATAATATATATGTTATTTACTAGATGAGTATTATGATAATGCTCATCTGTGTATGTTATGTCTTGTTGTATGCCTTATTTGTGTTTGACTATTTGGTTTGCACTCTTGTACCATGAGCCAAAGTAAAATGTTTCTCACCCCTTTTCTTATGTTATTTTCTTTTGATTCTTATGTAGGTGATCATCAGCATAAGGTCGAAGATATCAATGATGAGGCTTAGGCTTAAGTGTTGGGTTTTGCTCTAATAAGACATGTGACATCGAGATGTAACTAGGACTAGATTAAGATGTTGCTCTATTGAATTATTTTAAAAAACATTAGTTTTATTTCCTTATAATTTTAGTTGATTATTTTATTTTGTTAAGTTAAGAATGTGATGCCTTCTACCTAAACCCGTTTAGTTTTATTTATGAATAGTTATGTTATTCAATTTTTAATATTTATGTATTATGGTATGCAAGGTAAAAAGTGTCACTTTTCGTTGTATCCGAGCCTAGTTTGATTCAAATTGGACGTGTGTGTTTATCTACATTTTCATGCATCCTCTGATTGCTTATTTGTCTTGTCTTATGTGGTAGTTAATATATTATTGTTGTGTGTCAGAGTTATGGCAGGTAAGAATGATCGCGCTATTGTTGATGCTCTTCAAGTATTAGCAAATGTTATAGGGACTGATAAAACTTGAGCTACTTTTAGTTGGTTGGAGCGTTTTCAACATAACCATCCCGCCTCTTTAAAAGGGGGATACGACCTGGAAGGTGCGGTGATCTGGTTGATTGAGATAAAGAAAATCTTTAAGGTGATGGAGTGCCCTACTACTCGGAATGTGACTTTGGCTACCTTCATGTTGACGTTTGATGCTTACTTATGGTGTGAAAGAGCTCTATAAAGGATGATGGTTGAAGCAACGTTGGTTAAATAGGATAACTTCAAGAGGGTTTTCCTGGAGAAATATTTCCCTGATCATGTGAGGAGTTAGAAAGAGGTTAAATTCCTTAAGTTGAAGCAAAAAAATGGTACTGTTGATAATATATATTGCTAAGTTTGATAAGCCTGTCTATTACTTCTCTCACTACCATGGTGAGGGTGGTGAAAAGGCTAAGTGCATCAAATTTGTGCATGACCCTCATCTTGAAGTGAAGACTACAATCAATTATAAGGAGATCTACCACTACCTGACGCTCATCAATAAGTGTAGAATCTATGATCGTGACAATCATGCACGTGCTACTTTCTACAAAAGAGGTGGTCTTATTCATGATAAGTGATTTGGTGGTTAGAGCAGGAGTAAGTCTTACTCCGCTTTTGCTAAGTTTTAAGGGAGTCATGTTGGACTCTCTTTTGTGAGTGGTGTTGCTAGCATAGGAGGCTTTATTTCTACACCAACTAGTAGATGCAAGAAGTGTGGGTGACGTGGGCACGAGCACTACAACAGTCCTGACAAGGAGATCAAATGTTTCAACTGCAAGGGCAAGGGCCATATTTGTACTTAGTGTCTGCAACCACACATAGTTGGAACTAGTTCTCAATTTGAGCATCTGAAGGCTATTGGAAGAGTATTTGCTCTTAATGATGTTGAAGCTACTTAGTCCAAGAATCTAATACAAGATATTTGTTTCATAGCTGGGAATCCTTTTGTTGTAATGTTTGATTCTAGTGTAACTCATCCTTTTATTTCTCTTAATTGTGTCAAAAAGTTGAAATTGTTTGTGTCTTCTTTGAATTATGATTTGGTTGTGGAGACTTCCATTGATGGTCTCATCTAGTATTTGCCTTAAGTGTCCCATTGTTATTTTTGAAATCAATTTTTAGTTGATCTTATTTATTTGCCTCTTAGTCAACTAGATATCATTTTTGAAATGGATTGATTATCTTTTAATTATATCTTGTTAAATTGTTTTAAAAAGTTTATTTAACTTTGTGAGAGTAAGAGTAAGAATGAGATTTTTTAGTGCTAATAAGATAAAAACTTGTTTAAAAGAAAATGATAAGGTATACATGATTGTTTGCTATTGCGTTTTTTCTTGTGTTTATGTTTTACATTCTTATTTGAATTTTTCTTGTTTTTACGTTTTTTGACTTGTTCTTGTACATTATTTGTTCTTGTTTATTTTCCTTTTTGTTTCAAAACTAACATCATGCATTTTGGATGCTCCGATGTCCTGATAGTGGTTCCCAGTAGGTGATAGTGGTTAGTAGGTGTTAGTCACGAATTTTATTCGCGGTGGTGGTGGGATTCATTTTTATTAACAGTGGTTTGACAATGATTTTGTCTTCTTTTTGTTTGGCATATATTTGGGATGTTCCGATATATGAAATTTTTACTTAAATAATATTTTTAAAAGAAAAATTACAAAAGTAATAACTGTGCAGGTTTATTTACCAATATAGAATCGTTTACTGTGCATGCTTAGAATTCGGCTCAGAATTCATTATTTCCACACGATTTTAGCTCAGTTTCACTCCTTTACTCCATCCTTGTACTGCTTCTGAATCACCTTCATAGTAAGAAATTCTTTGTTTGGTTCAATTTTCATTAACCAAATATCAAAAATGTTATTGTGGAAGCAAAATGAGCATAGGTCTGCCTTCATTGGTAGAACGGTAGGTTTAGCACTTTCGTTATTTACTTTAAATTTCAATGAACTTGTAACAAATTAGTACTAATTTTGGTAATTATTGCAGGAGACTAAGAATATTATTTGTTCTTACTGTCATTCAATGCCAGAACCCCACCCTCTAATTGTTCTTATACTAGAGGAAGTTAATTTTTCTGGAGTTGCAAACCTCAGACATCTGAAAGTGGATCACACATTAATCACAGCTTTGGTTGAAAGATGGAGGCTTGAGACTCATACCTTCCATTTTCCAACTGGAGAGTGCACCATAACATTGGAGGATGTTGCACTTGAACTTGGGCTAAAAGTTGATGGTTTACCAGTCATTGGCCCAACATTATATGACTGGGAGGAAATGTGCTCCACGTATCTCGGAATCATGCCAGTTAAAGGTGAGTCACTAATTGGCTCTATGATTAAGTTAAAGTGGTTAAGAGAAAATATGTTAGAATTACCAAAAGAACTATCTGAAGAACAACTTCATGCACATTGTAGAACATATATATTAGGTTTAATAGGAGGTGTTTTGCTGCCTGACAAAACAGGTAATAAGGTACATCTTATGTATTTATCTTTATTAATAAATCTTAGAAGAACAAGACGATATAGTTGGGGGTCGGCATGTTTGGCTATGTTATATAGAGAAATGTGTAGAGCTACAAATGTTAGCAGCAAAATAATGGGTAGTTGTGCATCTTTGTTACAGTCTTGGGCATGGCATCGCATGCCATATATTGCGCCTATTTCCAGGATACCATCAACATTCCCTCTAGTCTGTAAATTGAGCGGAGGCAGAGTTTTAAACTTTCAAAATGTACCTCATAATGATGTTGTTGGATATAGATCAAGGTTTGATCACATTCAAAATGATCAGGTAACTATTTAAAATGAAAGTTTTATTATTTTTTTTTATTTTCATTTGTTTAGCATATTATGTTAACTAAAAAAGTTTAATTTTTTTGTAGTTTTTATGGGCTCCATATGCAGTGTTGCAAACAGCAATACCGATGCAAGCATATAGAGATGCTCAGCTATGGACATCATGTACCTCTATTATTTATTTTGCAATTGTTGAATGGCACCAGTCTGATATAGTGAAATTGCAATTTCATCTCTTCTAGGATGTCCCTTCTCTACCGAATAATTTGGATTACCTGCACAACATTCCAGGCACAGTATTCCCGGGAACCGAATTTTGAGCATGCACAGTAAACGGTTCTATACTGGTAAATAAACCTACACAGTTCTTACTTTTGTAATTTTTCTTTTAAAAAATATTATTTAAGTAAAAATTTCTCCGATATACACACGGTGCCTCGCAGTGGGTTTCGTTTTTGCTTACAAGAGAGGAAAGAAATGAAGAATTTTTTTTTAGAGAAATAAAGTAAAAATAAAAGTTTTTTGGCAAGAAATAAATAAAAGGAAAATTAAGTGAAAGTTAATTATTTTTATAGATGATTTTGCTTAAAAGTAAATAAATAAATATATTATTATTATTGTTAGTTAAATAATTAAACAAACATATTTTTATAAATATTTTTATTTAAACATAATAAAAGTATTTTTATTATATTTATTTATTATAGTTATATTTTTTTTTTATAAAAAATATAATATTAATAAATAAATTTTTGCCAGCTTCGAGAAACCTTGCTCCGGAGACAAAATCTTGATCTATAATAAGGTTGCAATTGGAACCTAAAATTGACAAAAACCCTATGCTTAAGATATTTTTTGTTTGCCTAAATGCAATGAAAAATGGATTTGTTAGGGATTGTAGGCCTTGATTTGAAATTGATGGATGCCACTTAAAAGGATTGTATGGAGGTGTGTTACTCTCGGTTGTTAGGGTTGATGGAAACAAAGGCATGTTTCCAATTGCATTTGCTCTGAATGGCAAGATAGACAAGAAACAATTATGTCTGAAATGCAAAAGGTTAGTGATAACTTACTTTTCTTTATTTTATTGTAATCTAATTTATTATTTTATATCATAATAGATTGTCTAACTAGATTTGCTGATATAAGAGGGGTTGCATAATGCCGTTGCAGAAACATCTCCTAATAGAAAACATAAGTACCTTATATATTTTTTCATACTTTTAAAAAAAAAATATATAATGTTTTTAATTCTATTAATTGTCTTTATGTTAATCACCTGTTAAGCAACTTCAAATTAAATTTCAGAAATTGCTTCTAAGTAAACAATTTACGGCTGTTGCAATGGGATATAACGAGTTTATATTTGACAAATTTATTAACAAGCTTAGAAAAATAAGTAATGAAACTGCAAATTGGTTGTTAGATGCTTGAAGGCATGTGGGCAAGATATACTATTGACCTCGAGGGTAAATCTGATCATGTAACAAATAATGTTACAAAGGCATTTAATAGTTGGTTAGGAAATGATAGAAAGAAAACAATTTTGCAATCGTTGAGTCTATTACTTGTAGATTGATGACTAGATTTCAGAAAAATATGAAAACGATAATGGTTTTGAGAATATTATAACATCTAACATTATAAAGGTGCTTCACACTACAATGCAAGATGGTAGAACGTGTAGAGTTACATGATGGTGAGTTTGGAGTAAAATGATTAGTTTACTTTTCTCTATCTTGATTTTTCTTCTCTTAACCTACAAAACAAATTCATCATAATTAACCAAAAAAATTACTATAATTTGATTGGATTTAATTTCTATAACATAATTTACATATTTATATATAATATTCACATCCTTGGACAATTTACAAGGAAAAAAATGAAAGCATCCCAATTTTATACAATAATATTCATGAAATTCAAGTAAAAATGACAACTAACAATGAGCTAATAAGTTATCTTTACTTTTCTCCTTCTCATTGAATGTTTTAAATATGTTATTTGAAAGCACAACATATGTCTTTTGGTTGTTGAAATTGAGTTGCACACATATTACAAGAAATGTGAAATGTTAGAAATACACTATATGACATACTTTTTAAAAAATATTATTTTTAATTGATTGAATTTATTAAAAAATACACAGGTTGGTAACTGTAAGTAACACATTATATTTAATGATTTTCTTTTCTAATTTTATAATTTTTAATAAATTTTAACTAATAAAAAGAGCATATTAAAAATAGTACGTTGATATTTTTTGACATGGATATTCATTTTATGCTTATAGAATTGTCAAGTATTTCATTAAGCTTTAAAGTAAGTTATTGGTTGTTTAATAATCGCGGTTTGTGACTCTTGATGTAAAAATGATGGTAATGGTTCCATTTGACTATAATTTTATTTATTATTATCAATCATTAAAAAATAAAATGTTTATTAAATATAGTTAACCAATTCTTTAGTGGACGTTGGGTTCAGTTAAAAAAAAAAAGCAATACCAATTACCATGAACTTTTTCCTTAAACTTGTGTGTAATCCACCAAATAAATATACTTTTATTAATTATTTAATAATGTAAGCAACTTATTTTATATAATACATTAATTTCGTTGAAGGTTATATTGATATTCATTAAAAAATCGAAAGTCTAGATTATTTATTTTTACCGATCTTTTTTATTTTTCTATTTAGGAGAAGGTAATTTTGGTTCAACCGAATAAAGCAACCAAAATTTCCCTCTACCATTGAAATCTGTTTAGAACAGACCAAACCTTTTTAATTTGAAAAAAAAAAAAAGCTTTAGATGATCTCATTCTCTGGCGAGTGGTGAGTGGAGATGATCCCATTCATTCCTGTCCGTAAGCTTCCAGTATGCCCCGCCTTACTTCCCGCTCGTCAAAATTCTTACGTGCTTCCCTCTCTCTCGGCAATCCCTTTAGACCATTTCCCACGTTCTCTGTCAACTGCAAATTCTATCATACCAATCCTCCTTCCTCCTTGGAACAAACAAATTCTAGTCAGTGAACTATGGATGAGCGAATCGACGAGGACGAAAAGGAAAAGGAGTCCCTGGCCGGCTTGAACTCTCTTCCACCTCACCGCAAAGCCCACTCGTACAGCCAACAGCTACGAGGCACGTCCACACACAAACGGCGCCAGCGAGTCCGAAAGCACAGTCTGGACGATAGCCGTATATCCAGCAACATCGAGTCATCGTTTTACGACACCGACTCGGACGACGACATATTTTCCCATTCATCCTCTATAAATGCTGCTGCCGCAGACGACGAGTACACTGAAAGCGGTGATTCGACTCAATATCAACCATTGCAGGAATTCATTGGCGCCGGGGGCGGGGTTGGGATCTTCAAGGCTCCTTTCAGAGCGTCCGTTCATCCAGGGCGGCCGCCATGCCTTGAGTTAAGGCCCCATCCCTTAAGGGAGACCCAGGTCGGCAAATTCCTCAGGAACATTGCTTGTACGGAAACACAGTTGTGGGCTGGTCAGGAGGGTGGGGTGAGGGTGTGGGAAATTAAAAACGCGTACGAACCCGGTAACGGTCTGGGTGGAAAGGTGAGAAGGGGTGACGAGGACGCTGCTCCATTTTATGAATCTGCGGATACCTCTCCCACCTTATGTTTGGCCGTCGACAATGGGAACAGGTTAGTTTGGAGTGGCCATAAGGATGGCAAGATTAGGTCTTGGAAAATGGATCAACGCTTTGCTACCCCCTTTAAGGAAGGTCTTTCTTGGCAGGCACACAGAGGTCCCGTTCTTGCCATTGTCATAACTACCTACGGGGATCTCTGGTCAGGTTCTGAAGGGGGTATTATTAAGATCTGGCCATGGGAATCCGTCGAAAAATCTCTTTCCTTGTCTCCCGAAGAACGACACAT